AAATAATTAAAATTTGATATTTTTAAATAAAAATTTAATATTTTTTTATTTAAAAATTAACAAAATTAAAATTTTTAAATAAAAAGTAAAAAATTAATATTCTTATTTGTAATTTTTTTTTGGGACCAGGAGAGTATCCTGGTTGGACCGAGCCCATGGTCAACAAATTCGGGCTTTGACACTGTCGCATATAAATTTGAAAGAGTTTATCTATTTTTTATCCTTTATATAATTATTATTAATTTTTATCTTTATTGTAAATATTACATGTCACCAAGGTTTTATTTATTTGAGTCGAAAGAATTTAATTTTTTTTTAAAAATATCTCAAATTTAAATATTGTAAATAAAAAAATAAATTTTAAGAGAGTTTTCTTTATAAAATTTAACACAATTTAATTTTAAATTAATCAGATTTAATATGATTATCAGATATTAAAAAATTAATACTAAAAAAATTTCATGACAATTATTTATTTATTTATTTATTTTAAAATTAAAATAAAATTTTATTTTTTAATTTAAAACTTTGTATTTTTTAAAATAATTATTAATTAATAATTATTTTTTATCATATACCCTAAACACATAAGATAGAGAAACACAATTTTAAAAAACCTTTTCTGCAACAGACCAATTATTATTATTTAAATGAGTAATTATTGTAACTATTAATATTTATTTAGAAAAAATGGTGAGAGTCAAAATTGAAATTGAAATTTCACGCCATCAGATGCCATCATTTATCTCTCAAATAAAACCGTAATTACTTGAACCACGCGAGTGGACGGCGACATACGACCTATTATTATTATTATTATTTAAATGAGTAATTATTGTGATAATATTAACATTTATTTTAAAAAAAAACGGAGAGAGTCAAACCTGAAATTTAAATTTCACGTCATCAGGATGCCATCATTTATCGCCCAAATAAAACCGTAACTACTCTGAACCACGCGAGTGGACGGCGACATACGACCCATTACGGTTTCCTGGCCTATCAGGATATGCCACGTAATCAAAAACACGTGGCTGATGAAGACCACAGTAATCACCTGGGGACGCGTTCCTCTAGATTTTCCCAATTACAAAAATACAACAAACCGAGAAAATTTAAACATGGTATAAAAGTTCGTCCCGTCTTCTGTGATTGAAGGAGAA